CATTATTACATCATTATTTTTGCACCGACCTAATAGGTTTGGAACTCAGACATTTGCGTTCATTTTGCTACACTGAAGAACAGAAGAGGTTATTTTTTGAGTCTCCCTGTTGAGTGGGGTTTGACAGTGGATGACATCCGACGTGTACCTGGTATAGGTAAAATGACTCGTTGACCATAACAAGTTTATCGTCAGATAAGTGCATAGTGAGGATCAGATTGCAATATAATTTCTCCGTTACATTATAATAGGAGTTCGCATATTTGTTAAGGTACTTTTCAGAGCACCTGTTAGCATTTAACTTCTTCACATTTTTTGCAACCCCTGGGGAAAACTGCAACCCATAGCAAAACTGACATTTTTTTATTTGTCATTGCATGAACTAATGTATATACAGTGTAACCCGGATATAAGAGACCCGGATATAAGAGAAACCCGGATTTTCTCTGGTCCCAAATTAGAGCCTGTGTTAATGTATATAAAATAGACCAAACCCGGATATAAGATAAACCCGGATATAAGAGACTTCTTCTCCGGTCCCGACAACTCTCTTATATCCGGGTTACACTGTATATAAACAGAAAATGTCTGTGTGCCTGTCTGTCCGTCTGTGTGATACTTTTTCACTCGTGATCCATCCAACCGATTTTGACCAAACTTGGCACATACATTGTACAATGTAATAGATAGGTTCTTAGCGTAAATAATCGATAATTAAAAAAAAAAAATCAATCATCGATAAATCCGATCCAAAATCGATAAATTCAACATTTTTCCTCCGATATCATTCACACACGGGATGTAGGTTACTTACATCATGACGAGCTCAATGATGCTTCATGTTTATTTCTACGCCGCTGCGTTTAGCGAGAAACCGCGAAAACGTAAATTCGATTTCAACAAAAATGATTTCAACACAAATTTTAAACTAAAAATTTCCTCAATTTTCAAGCAATCTAATACAGACTTCACTCAATTGTAGCCAACAATAAGTTGATTGTTTAACAGTCATTTAACTTGATAACTGAGTCCACCCATATCGTGAAATCCCACGTAAATAGCGAAAAATGGCGATTTTTAATGGTACTTCCTAATTTTTCGTTGATCTTTCAACCAATTTTCATCAAACTTAACAATTGTTTTAGAAATGTATCTTCTTTTACATCCCTGGTAGCACACTGACAAATTGAATTTCAAATACTCCAAAATAATTGTGGTCTGAAGTGGGTCTTCATGTTGCCTGTTTTACCCCTTCATGTCCTTGGCTAACTTTGATTGAATAAATACAGACTACTTCTCTTATATCAGTAATTGCATTGATTAAAAATGTTTTTTTAATGAAAGTACTTTAAAGTAATTGAAAAAGACTCTGTTACATCTAAACATGATGCTGTTTTTGCTTCATTCTAATTGAACACTTTTTCTGATCGAACAGCTGCTAGTAACAAATAAAACGCAGGGCGTTTTTTTTTAATTTAATAGCTGAATATCTTAAAATATATCTTAAACAAACTAGATTATTTTTTAATTTAATGATTTGATCACTTAAAGTCGTATGGAATCATATTGAAGAAATATTAAAGAGAGTAATGGTCTTGTAATTTGCATCCATAACACAACCTCCAAGAAATGACACTTGCACCTTCTCCACTAGAAGGAGTACACCCCTGTGCAAATTAATTGAAAGAAACGCTTTAGTTTCCTTTCTTTCACCATACGGCCAGTTTAAGAATCACTGGAGTGACAGGGTGTAATCGATATTTTTTCCTCAGATTAGGTCGTTTGCAGTGGCTTGCAGTAATATGAATCCATTTTCGGGGTGTATGATCACATTTGTTTGGCATTTAAAGATACTGCGTCATCCGTGATTGCATGAGATTTTTATCACACGCAGACACTATTGTCTCACCTGTCGATTAGTTGTCCTACGGCCATTGTTTGCGATGGACGTTACTCTAAGGAAGTGTACGAAAAGTGTAACGCTGCACAAACACACTGGCAAGCCTTATCAATGAGCAAATCAAAGTACTATAGAGCGGAACGGAATCTCTCCTGATTTAAATCCAATCGAGAATCTGTGGTCAATCTGCATGGAACGACTTCGTGGAATGGACCTACGAAGTACTAACATGTGCACTGGTTCATATTTGATTGGAATAATAGGATTGAAAAAGTAAATAATAACGGAATTTGTCTATATTTATGAGATGAGGTATTATGTACACTACATTATTCGTACTATTGTCCTCATCTTTATCGCCATGTTTATCACAGCTTTTCGGTCGTTCTACGCTCCGGCCTTCTTCAGGTGGTTGGAATGTCGAACTGAACCCTTTATTTCTCTCACAGGGGTAGACTGTTCTAGTTCCACGTGCCATGTCTAATGGTTGTCAGTTATCTCCTGTTAATTTCCTTCTCAAAGTTCTCCACCGCCTTAACAAGGTATTGAACTCACACTCTTTGGATCCTGTCACAGGATCTAACTAACGTCTTTATCCACTGTGCCCTGTGTCCTTGAGGACATCTGTGTGTGAATTTCTGGGTATTATAAACCTAATATCTTTAGCAAACTTTTTTTACCAGTGTTCATATTGCAATTTTTGCTCTTATCATTACATGTATATTACCAGAGCTATTATTGCAAATTTTTTGTTATTATCACTTTTCTCTGGCACTCCTTATTACTGGTTCCCGCATAGTATTCATTTCTATGCTTGGTCGGCTCAGGAGATTTTTGTGGCCTAGCATATGTGCTGATTCTTTAAGGGAATATATCACAGGAGATAACTGACATTCATTAGACATGGCACGTGGAACTAGAACAGTCTACCCCAGTGAGCGAAATAAAGGGTTCAGTTCGACATTCCAACCACCTGAAGAAGGCCGGAGTCTACAAAGGCCGAAACGTTGTGATAAACATTGCGACAAAGATGAGGGCAATAGTGTACATAACGGAATTATTCGTTTTGTTTCAATTAATTTGCACAAGGGTTATATTGAATCAGTTGCTAGGTTTGCTACAAGGAATGTTTTGTTCACATCGTCGTTATAGACAGTTTTTTTCTTTTCAGGATGTATTTTACACTTTTATATGTCTACCATTCGCCCATGCATTGAATATTGCTGTCTCGTCGGGTCTGCTGATTTTGCTATGTATCCTGAGATTCTTGAATAAACTCTAAAGAATAATCGGCAATATTATTGGTTATGATCTGGCATCTTGACTGCTTTAATGTCCAACTATCGTAACGTAGCTTCCCAATGACTTTTCTATTCATATTGTCATTGTTCTGATGAGCTTTCCTCCGTGGTACCTCGATTCTACAAATTTAAGTACAGTACTAGATTGGCAGCTAGGTCTTATCATTTTAAAGTTGAAATGGCTAGATGCAACCGTAAGTTCTATGATAACAGTTTCTTCTCTCGCATTTCTCGCTTGTGGAACGCTCTCTCTCTCTCTCTCTCTCTCTCTTTCTTTGCGTCTTGATTTCCGGTTAACTTTGTTTTTTTTTTTTTTAATATAAATATAATATCAATCGACCTCTATTTCCTTAATACCTGTACTTTAATCATTATTTCTCCTTAATAATGATTAAACTTTCATTTTCAGTATCACACTCTTGCGTTTTAGTGGCTTTATCGCTTTGCTTGGGATGAAAAAATCCAGATGACAGAAAATTAGTTTAGCGATGATGAAGTCATTAATTATCACATATAATAATAGTAAAAAAAAATATACACATATAAATAATAAAAATAGAATGAATTAAGGTATCATAATATCCCGAAGATGGTTAACTAAGTATTAATTCTAATTTTTTGTAACTGAATTCTATGATTTTGTCTTCAATACTGAATTCTATAATTTTGTGCTCAATACTAAATTCTATGATTTCTCTTTAATACTGAATTCTATAATTTTGTGCTCAATACTAAATTCTATGATTTTGTGCTCAATACTAAATTCTACGATTTTGTCTTCAATACTGAATTCTATAATTTTGTGCTCAATACTAAATTCTATAATTTTTTGTTCAATACTAAATTCTATGATTTTGTCTTCAATACCGAACTCTACGATTTTGTCTTCATTACTGAATTCTATGATTTTGTCTTCAATACTTTATTCTATGTTTTTGTCTTCAAAATTTTGTCAGATGTTTGAGTCTACTAATGATTTTTCTATAGGAGGCACGATGGAATAATGGATAGCGGAGGGCCGAGTTCGAATTCCAGTCGAATCCATTCCATTCACTTACGTGCTAATACCCTTGGGAAAAGGTACGAATCCTCTTCTTCTCCCCCCGCCCAGTTATGGTAAATAGAAAGACAGACCGAGTTCTATAGACTTGGAGAAGGGAAAATCTGAATTCAAAACCTTATTCTCCTAATCACATAAAAACTGGCTTATTATAGAAACCGCTACGATTCCTTACGACCTTACGTTCCTCAAGGAATATAAAGGCATAAAATAATGATTTCTCTATACAAGATGCTTCTTAGATATTTCTAAAAGTAACACAGTCTGCCACAAGGTTAAAATAGTAGAGGGCGCGTTGTTAATAGGAGTTAAGAGTAGAGGGCAGTATGTCTGGTGCTAGTTTACTAAATATAATTCTACTAATTAATTATCGACAGCCGGTGATGAATAAAACGAAATTGGAAAATCTGCTCGAATGGAAGGAATGATCAAAAGGAAAAAAAAGTTAAAATAATTATCCAGTGAAAATAAATCGATGAAAAGGATTTTGATTAAAAGGATAAAAATCTGTCAGACTGTAATTACAATATGCAGCCTTTGTTTTCCGTTCTTGTTATCAGCGGAGCATAAAAGAAAATTGAATGGTTTATTGTAAAAATAAACGGTACCAGATCCAGGCAAGGCTGGATTTTTTTAGGGCCGAAAAATCCCTAAATTAATTGCACCAAATGACCCGCGTAGATTAAACGGCGAATCCCAATTAAATAAATAAATAAATAAATCGAATTTGCCAGTTAATTTAATCATATTGTTTTTTCTTGTCTATTTCTTTCTTCGGAATTGAGAAGGAAAGAGAGAGAGAGAAAGAGAGAGAGAGAGAGAGAGAGAGAGATTGAGAGATAAAATAGATAAAAAGAAAAAGAAGAAAGAAAAAGACAGCGTAAGGGAGTGATAACGTGTTAAATCGAAAGAAAGAAAGACAGAAAGGCTGACAAAGAAAAAAATCTGAAGAACAATTAAGATAGCAAAAAAGAGTAAGAAAAATAAGAGACAGATTTAGAGAAAGAAAGACGAAAAGAGAGAGAAAGAAAAGACAAGAAGGGAGAAAGAGAGAGAAAGCGAAATATATAAAGAGGAGAAATTTTAAAGAGAAAGAAAAAGGAAGAATTGAAAATGAGAGAAAAAAAAATCTAAGAACAAAAAGAGGGAAATCTAAAGAGAGAAGAGAAAGAACGAGGGAGATAAAAAGAGAGTGAGAAAAGAGAAGACGAAAGAAGAAGAGAAAGAATGGGAGAGAGAAAAAGAAAGTAAGATTAAAGGAAAAAAGAAAGAATGAGAAAGGAGAAGGCGAAACAGAAAATGGCCGAGAGAGAATGAAAAAGAGAGGCAGAAGAGAGAGTGAGAGTGGTTATGAGAAAGAATAGAAGAGAGATAAAATTAAAAAGAAATGCAAAAAAAAAAGAAAGAAAAGCTGAGAAAGCTAGTGAAAACAAACTATAAAAGAAAGAAATGTAAAAGACAGCGCGAAAGAGCAATAGAGAGAGAGAGAGAGAGAGAGAGAGAGAGAGAGAGAGAGATGAGAAAGAGGGCAAGAAAGAGCGAAAGAGTAAGGTAAAAACATATGTGGGGAGAAATGCAGGAGAGAGAAAATATCTGAAAGAAAGAGAAAAAAAGAAAGACTAATTGAATGAGGGACAGTGAAAGAAAGAGAAATACAGCGAAATTGAGAGACAAAACGCGGGAAATAGTAAGAAAGAATGAAAAAAAATAAACATTTAAAGATGTATCTAGAACATGACTGAAATTTAGAACCTTGAAAAAATCCAGTAAGAGATCAATTTATTCCTCACTGGAAGTAACTGGAATTCTTGAAAAGAAAATGCCAATATACACTCGTGTGCAAATTAATTGACGCAACTGCTTTAGTGTGCTTTTTATCGTCATACCGTCAGTTTTAGACCCACTGGAGTGACAGGGTGTAATCGATTCCTTTTTTTTTTTCTTTCCTCAGATTAGGTCATTTGCAGTGGTATGCACTAATATGAATCTATTTTCGAGTTGTATCATGAAATCAGTTTGGCCATGAAAAATATCGCGTCATCCGTGGTTACATCAGAGTTTTACTACGCTCAGACACTATTATCTCGACTGTCGATTAGGTGTCCTACAGCTATTGTCTACGAGGGATGTTACTCCAAGGAAGCGTACAAAAATTGTAACGCTGCACAAAAAAACAGGCAAGCTTTACCAGTGAGCAAATCCAAGAACTATAAACTGGCCTGGAAACGCTCCTGATTTAAATTCAAACGAGAATCTGTGGTCAATCTGCAAGGAACGACTTTGTGGAGACGGAAATACGAAGTCCTAATATGTGCACTGGGTCATGTTCCATTGGAAAAATACGGATAAAAAGTTAATAATGGAATTATTCGTTTGTTTCAATTAATTTTCACAGCTGTGTGATAAAGTCTCGAGATGTTTTGGTTAGTAGCCGCAAATTACACACAAATCAAACTTAAAATGTTTAATTAATATTCTTGTATTTAATTATTATTTTTGTATATATATAAATAATAGTAAAAGATATACACATAAATAATATTAAAATATACACATAAATAATACTAAAAATATACAATAAAAAATAATACTAAAATATACACATATAAATAATACTAAAAAATATACACATATAAATAATACTAAAAAACATACACATATAAATAATACTAAAATATATACACATATAAATAATACTAAATATATGCACATATAAATAATACTAAAAAATATACACATATAAATGATACTAAAAGTATACACATATAAATAATACTAAAATATATACATATAAATAATGCTAAAAATATACACATATAAATAATTCTAAAATTTATACACATATAAATAATACTAATAATATATACACATATAAATAATAATAAAAATATACATATAAATAATCCTAAAATATATACATATAAAATAATACTAAAAATATACACATATAGATAATACTAAAAATATACACATAAATAATACTAAAAATATATACATATAAATTAAACTAAAAAATATACACATATAAATAATTCTAAAATATATACACATATAAATAATACTAAAAATATATACACATATAAATAATGCTAAAAATATACATATATAAATAATTCTAAAATATATACACATATAAATAATATTAAAAATATATACACATATAAATAATAATAAAAATATACACATATAAATAATGCTAAAATATATACATATAAAATAATTCTAAAATATATACACATATAATTAATACTAAAAATATATACACATATAAATAATAATAAAAATATACACATAAATAATCCTAAAATATATACACATATAAATAATACTAAAAATATACACATATAAATAATACTAAAAATATACACATAAAATAATTCTAAAATATATACACATATAAATAATACTAAAAATATATACACATATAAATAATGCTAAAAATATACACATATAAATAATTCTAAAATAAATACACATATAATTAATACTAAAAATATATACACATATAAATAATAATAAAAATATACACATAAATAATCCTAAAATATATACACACATAAATAATACTAAAAATATACGCATATAAATAATACTAAAAATATACACATATAAATAACACACAAATGAACAAATCCCAAAGAAAACAGGAAAATATATTAACACAAAACGAATTGTATTAACCGCCAAAAATACTGTCGGGGAAATTCAACGACATTAAATATGTAAACAAATTACGCAGAAAAAATAAAACAAAATTTCAATGAATGAAATACCGAAAGAAATATTCCTCAACAAACCCAACAAAAACTATACATGCTAAATTTCGCGAATTTATACAACAGAGAACAGGAAGCTGGCCTGGATCTGATCGCGCCTGGTTGACGTACCTGCGGGAGTGGGTCTGATGTTTGTCGAGGCCGAAACCCACAGTGTCAACAGGGATAAACAGAAGAAAACAGAATGCATGGTCATCAGTAAAAGGATGACCCCGAAATGCGATCTGAAGGTCGGGAACACTAGAATCAAGCGGACTCTAAAGTTTTAATATCTGGGAAGCGTTCTGACAGAGGATGGTAAATGCGACATTGAGATCCGTAGACTTATTGGGATAGTTAAGGACGCATTCCAAAAGTTGGGCAGGGTATTACGAGACAGGAGGATTTCTTTGGTAACAAAGAAAAGAATACTCAACTATTACGTGACATCTGTCCTTCTTTACGTCAGCGAATGTTGGATGATTTCCTCAAAGATGAAGAAGAGACTCGAGGCGACGGAGGTATGGTTCTACAGAAGGATGCTAAGGATATCATGAACCGAGCGTGTGAACAACGATGAGGTTTTGGATAGGATGCAAACAAGGAGGAGGCTTATACTTAACATCAGGAAGAGGCAGCTGAAGTTTCTGGAACACGTAATGAGAAAGGAGGGCCTGGAGAATCTAATACTCATAACACAAACACTCAATTAAACAGAAAAAATAAAATCATCCTCGATAATGTTTAAAAGCAGAGCCGAAATCGCTCGGAACTATAGAACATTCAGACAGTTTTTAATGAAAGATGCATAAATGAATGATTGCTGCCTAAATACATTATATATATATATATATATATATATATATATGTGTGTGTGTGTGTGTGTGTGTGTGTGTGTGTGTGTGCGCGTGTGTGTGTCTGTGTTTAGTTGGATTGATGTGAGTTTGTGACCATGCGATCGTCAGAAAATGAATAATTTTGGAAATTTTGGATTTATTTATGGTTGCGTATATAGGTGTTTTTATGGCAGTGGGAGGAAACATTGTCGTCAGAACACCACTCATATGTACACATACACACACACACACACACACACGTTCACGCATTGCAACTCACACAAACATAAACATATATGAACAGTTATGGGAGTGGGCGTATCTGAGGCGACTATTTAATCATAAATAAATCCAAAATTTCAAAAATTAATCAGTTTGTAAGATGATCGCAGAGATCGTAAGACCCAGGCTCACAAACTCACCTCAATCTAAGTAAATATGTTAGCTCTATCATTGATATTGAACGATTTCCAATAAGTAACGCGCATATATAGTATATATATAGTTTTCAGCCATGCTCTATTTATGGGTAAAAACCCTCAGTATCAAACATAGAGCGAATGTAAATCTAAAATTGGACATTGAGATCAACATCAAGTGTCGTTCAAGCATGAAACAGATTGACGCCGCTTGGCAGTGACCTCAGTGTCCACTGATATATATATATATATATATATATATATATATATATATATATATATATATAGAGAGAGAGAGAGAGAGAGAGATAGATAGATAGATAGATAGATAGATAGATAGATAGATAGATAGATAATATCAATGGTCCAAATATCGCAGTTCTTTTAAAAGGGCTGTGGTGAAATAATTTATTACATGGAACTTGGTCTGAAAGTGGTCTGTTTTTATTTAAATTATTTGCTCTGGAATTACATTGAGCTCTCTGGATTTTATCCTCCTTAGGTTTACCCATAAGGATTACCTAGTTTTTCTTAAACTATATATATATATATATATATATATATATGAATTCCCAAGAGGATAGAATCCAGCTAGAACCCAATGTCTAGGACAGAGTAAGAATATAATATAAAACAAACACTAATATTCCATGGCTATAATTTATTACATTGCATTGGAATCATAATCACGATACAATTCATCAGACCTACAGATTTGTACGTCTGATGAATTGATAGTGATTACGATTCCAATGTGATAAATTATAACCATGGCATATTAGTGTTTGAGCCTTTCATATATATATATATATATATATATATATATATATATATATATATATATATATATATATCTGCGTATATTTTGACAGCATATTTTCGGCGAGACTCGTTTTTTTCATTGAATAATTCAGACAAACAAGTTTACCTACTTATGTTCAATTGGATCCTTTCATATTCACGGAGAAGCTTTTTGGTTTCATTATTAAGGGAAGAGAGAAAATTACCGTGTTGGTTCACAATTACTTGGCTTTGTTCATATTACTATGTCTACACATGTGCGCGAAACGAGTGATGCTTGTAGTTTCAAAACTTTTCAAAGAATATTTTTGAAGAATATTTTTTTTAAAGAATATTTTTTTCATTGTAACCAAATTTATTTGTATTCTTTTGCTTCACTGCTAAAAACCGCCATACCATGTATACAGTCAAATCATCCTGATTCCTCTCGTAATCGCAAGAATGACATTGCCCTCAGAAAGCTTCTTCCCGAGAACCGCGGTCTGACGCGATGGGACTTCCCAGAAGACCTATTCAAGTATATAGCTATCTTTCTTTTATAATCTTCACTTTCTACTTCCTCTTCTTACGTTTATATCACACACCTCATTCATTATTCTACCTTCAGTGGCTCTCGGGCATTCAATTGGGTGAAGATTAGTATATAAATTAGATAGCTAAAAAGATACTGAGTTAGACAACGTTTATTTGTGTGCATATGTCCGAATGTGAATGTCTGTGTATATGTCGTCTTTTTTTAAATAAATTTTTGTCAAGCATCCAAATTTTCTTATCATGAATAAAAAATAAACCAAAAATGAAGAAATAAAATAAAAAAAGGAAGAAGATGAAAATAAAAAGAATAGGAATTTATTTTTTAAAAAAAGTCCTTTGGTCGCCTCTCATGAAATTTCAGACAAGTTGGAATGGAGCCTGATCTTTTTTTCTTCGTCTTCTATCCGTTTGTCCTTGGATATCAATTATTGATTTGGCAGTTTGTCACGCAACGTCGTTTCCAAAAGGAATGCTCTTTTGGCAAAGAGTTTCTTTCCCTGAACCATTCTTTTGGGGAAAACATGTCATTAGAATGCCACGGAATTGGGGAAATGGTAAGCAAAAAATCCAGGGTAAAAAAAAGAGACGCCAGCAGATATGAATAAAAGATGTATACGGCAGAAGGTGAATAAAAGGGGACAGTATATATATATATATATATATATATATATATATATATATATATATATATATATATATATATATATATGTGTGTGTGTGTGTATATATACATATACATGTATATATATATATATATATATATATATATATATATATATATATATATATATATATATATATATATGTGTGTCTGTGTGTATGTGTTTGTGCGTGTGTGTATCTGTGGAATGGTAAATAGGCTACAGTAGAAAGGTTTTGAAGAGATAAAATAAATCTTAGAGAAATAGGTATACGCTAGAAATCAAAGGGCGAAAGAAAAAAGAAGTGAATCGACAAAGAGAGAGAGAGAGAGAGAGAGAGAGAGAAAGAAAGAAAGAAAGAGTCTATACATTCTATTACCTGTATAAAGAAATAAAAGGAAGAAAGAAAGAAAGAAAGAAAGAAGGAAAGGAAGGAGGGAAAAAAGAAAGAAAGTAAGAAAGAAAGAAAGAAGGAAAGAAAGAAAGAAAAAATGTCTTTACGTCTATAAAGAAAGAAAATATATATGTACGTCTAGAAAGAAGACATGGTCGAAAGCAAAATACAAAGAAAAGTATCCACACATTCCATTACATGTAGAAAGAAAGAAAGAAAGAAAGAAAGAAAGAAAGAAAGGACTAAAGCAAGAAGGAAAGCAAAAAGTTGTCACGTATAGAAAGAAAGTACGAAATCAAGTAAGCAAGAAAGAAAGAAAGAAAGAAATAAAGAAGTCTATATATTTTATTTCGTGTAGAAAGAAAGACAGGAAGAACGAAAAAGCAGAAAAATAAAAAAGAAAGAAAAAATCGTTACGTGTAGAAAGAAAGGACGAAAGCAATCTAGCTAGAAAGCAAGCAAGCAAGCAAGAAAGAAAGAAAGAAAAAAAGAAAGAAAGAAAGAAAGAAAGAAAGAAGGAAATAATCGTTACGTATAGAAAGAAAGAAAGGACGAAATCATGAAAGAAAGAAAGAATTCGATTTATTTTATTACGAATAGAAAGGAAGACAGAAAGTATGAAAGAAAATAAAAAAGTTAAGAAAGAAAGAAAGAAAATTATCGTTACGTGTAGAAAGAAAGAAAAAGTCGTTACGTGTAGAAAGAAAAGACGAAAGTAAGCTATTAAGAAAGTGAGAAAGAAGTTGATATATTTTAAGCGTTGGAGAAAGTGATAAAGCAATAATGAAAAAAAGTAAAAGGTGAAGAAAGAAAGAAAGAAAAATGATTACGTGTAGAAAGAAAAAAAGGACGAAGACAAGCAAGCATGACAAAAAAAAAAAAGAAAAGAGAAAAAATGAAAGAAAGATAGAAAGAAAGAAATCTATATATCTTAATACGTGTAGAAAGGAAGACAGAAAGAATGAAAGAAAGAGAAAAAGAAAGCAAAAGTCACTACGCGAAGAAAGAAAGAAAGTTGTTACATATAGAAAGAAAGTATCGACGAAAACCAGCAAGCAAGGAAGGAAGATGTCCATAAATTTTATTACGCGTAGAAAAGAAGATAGAAAGAATGAAAGAAAGTATTAAAAACAGAGAGAAATAAAAGTATCTATACATTCTATTACAAAAAGAAAGAAAGAATGGAAAAATGAAAGAAAGAAAGAACGAAAGAAAGAAAAAGAACAGTCGTTACGTGTATAAATAAAGAAAACGTCGTTACGTGTAGAAAGAAAGAAAGAAAGAAAGAAAGAAAGAAAGAAAGAAAGAAAACAAGATAACAAGATAACAACAAGCAAAAAAGAAAGAAAGAATAAAAGAAGGGAACAAAAAAGAAAGAAAGAAGTCTCTATATTATATTAAGTGAAGAAAGGAAGACAGGATGAACGAAAGAAAGACTGTGGGATCGAAAGAATTGAATGTCTATATATTTTATTCCGCGCAGAGAGGAAAACAGAAAAGAGAAAAACAGAGAGAAGTCAAGAAAGAAAGAATGAAGGGGAGATAGATAGATAGATAGATAGATAGATAGATAGATAGATAGATAGATAGATAGATAGAGAGAGAGAGAGAGAGAGAGAGAGAAAAGTGGGAAAAATGAATACATGAGCGATGATACTGAAGATTGTCTCGATGCTTTTCCCATTCTAATGTGAGTTCAATTCTCATCGACTTTCGGGTTTATACATTTATTAAATTATTTTTGTTCTTGTCACTGAGCAATGCACTATGACATTGGACAGAAGTCTCCAGAAATACAACAACCCTCCCCATTCACATAGACAAACAAACAAACAAAAAGAAACGAAACACGCACACACATCACAAATGAAAACAAATATAAGCATAGCATCGACTGAAGAAAACTAACAACGATTAAAAATACGTTGAATATTGCCACCGTGCGACAGCGTTCATTTTACGCAGAGCCCAAGAATAAAAGCTTTCCCTCAAACAATTTTGTCATAGAAGTAAAATGTCGCCCTGAGGGTAACAGTTCAGACAAATCATACCCGGAATGCGTTCTGGCTTTCATCATGAATTTAGAATGTCCTAATCAAAACGATTTCGGTGTTATTTTTTCCCCGAAGAATAATAAGTGTGCCATTTTGAGTTCATGCCTTTATCGTTGGTAAGGATTTGTTTTTTTGCAATTGATATTCTAGCCATTAAAATATCGAAACAAAAAACAAAACCCAAAATAAACAAGAAAACGAAATAAACATTCAAAATTCTCGGGGGGAATTTTTTTTTTTTTTGGCAGACATATTTGCAAAGACATTTTCACGTAATGTAGACAGATATACACATCTACATTTATACACATCGTATTCAAATATTTCTTACTTCCCGTGATCGTATCTTGCCGACGACTGGTGTCTGTTTCATTTGTAACCAAGGTCTGAAGCTGGCACATTCAAATCTCTATTTATTCAGTCTGCAATAAGATACGAATCTCACATGTACGCTCAAACGTAAGCAGAACTTCCTTCGAGGTATTTATAAAGCATAGTGGCATCTGGCACAAGGCAACGAATATAGAGGGATTAATGAGAACCAAATTCACGGTGGTAACAATGCCCTTCGAAAGATAGCTTGTCAACCATTGTCTCGCAGCGCGTTATATTATTTAGTAACAGGGACAAGCTCTGGTAGAAATCTACAGTTTTTGATCTGACGGAACTGAACACCATGAAAGTAACAGTCTGCCAAAGCTTCTAATTTTTAAGAAGAAAGCTAGACATTCTAGCAAGGTTTATTATCAGTGGGCACAATCTTAAGAAAATAAAAAAATATTGCAGAGAAAGAAGACTAAAGGTCATCCTAGACAAGTTAGTGAAGAAAAGTAAAGAGAAAAGACTAAACATTAATTATATTGTAGTGGGAGTGAGCTATAGAAGAATAATTTATTCTTCGATTTATATTTCCCCCATTATGAGCATTATTATATCCATGGTATAATAACACCGTAGTTCACGGACGGAAAGGAATGGCTGAAAGGAAAAAGAATGACAAACATGCTTTGTTCTCAGAGAGACTTTTTATACTACTGAGGCATGTACAAATCTATATCTACACAAAGACGCGCATATATATATATATATATATATATATATATATATATATATATATATATATATATATATATATATATATATATATATATTTAAAGATATTTTTGAGGTACAAAATTTAATGATCGAAATAAAAGTATAAACTTTAATATTACAAGACATATTAAACAATAAAAAAAAAAGAAATAAAAAAAAAACACAACAACGGGGGAAAAGCAACCGGTTTCGCTTCCGCTCTTCAGGCTTCAACGGGAGATTCAAAATTAATACAGAAAAATGTACAATAAGGAACAGGGGAAAAAAAAATATATATATATATTTTTTTTTTTTTCCCCGTTGTTGTGTTTTTTTTTTTTTTTTTTTTTTTATTGTTTAATATGTCTTGTAATATTAAATTTTATACTTTTATTTCGATCATATATATATTTAAATAGAAATGAATCATTCATACAAAAAATAAATATAGAGGTTAATGATTTTAAATCATTAACCTCTATATTTGTTTTTGTATGAATGATTCATGTAATTATAAATTAAACTGCACCTATAATCGAAATATATATATATATATATATATATATATATATATATATATATATATATATATATTATACGTTTTTTATATATAATACTGAGATACTCCTGTGTTTGGAGAATCTATGCTTCGGACTCCAGAATCAAACAGACCGGTTTCATCTATGTCTCAGGCGAGGACATATCCTACGAACGGGAAAAACAGCGAGTATTGGATTTTCACCAAATTGGGGGCTGTGAGGAGTTCCATTCTATTACTGGGAAAAGTCTATTCCCAAAGGGAAACGGCATCATGCACTTGTAAGCTGCAGGGGAGGCAGATTTGATTTAGCCACTGTCCGGCTAAAGAAAGCAACCTTACAGTTTACGTGCTGAAAACAAAACTGAATTTGACTGCCGCATTCGTCACTGTTTAGAGTAACGACACGAAGCGGTCCGTTACGTGACCCATGTGACTTATCTCCACGAAAAGAAAAGAATCGCTTTCTGTATCTCTGCAGTATATAAACAGAATGTATGTCCGTCAGCAGGAGAAGAAAATCCAAGATGCAATCTAAGAGTTGGAGATATCAGCATCGAACAAGTACAGAAGTTTAAATATCTGTGAAATGTTCTAAGAGACAATGGAATATATGACATCGAAATCCGAAAATATGAGAATAGCAAGAGATAGCTCCTGAAAACTAAGCAATATATTAAATAATGAAATATATTAGAAACAAAGAAAATTGTGCTGGTCCTCTATGTAATAGCAATTCTCTTATGAGGCAGAAAATGCTGGACAAAACTTGAGGCAACAGAAGTGCGGTTCTACAGAAGGATGATGAGAATACCATGGACAGAACATATCAAGAAGGACAAGTTTTAAGGAAAACTGAAACGAAAGACCTCTTATACTTAGAATCAGAAACAGTTGAAATTTCTAGGACAGATAAGGAAGAAAGAAGTTTTGGACAACTTAACAAAGATATATCAAAGGTAGGGGGGAGCAAAAGACATTGAGTAATCTCTCTAACGAGCTTGTTTAAATGGATGGCGTAACAAAGATGAGTAAGGATAATAAAAAGACTATTGCTAAGTGTTAAAAAGTATAGGAAGTTGTGGAAAGATATTTCGCACGAGACTCCTTCTGATTTGAAATTAGTACAAGATAACTTTCTATTTTAAAAGTAGTTGTTTTTTGGTTAATTACAGAGTAGTCTCCCCTTTGCAAATAGTTATAATCTCAATTCTACGGTGATTTTCTAAGCGAAGTTTAGATGTGGCAAAAAGCCGAAAGTATGGAGGACCCACTATAGCCGTGTACTTCTTCAGCTTATCTCTTTCTTCGTCTTTGAAATTATTATTATTATTATTATTATTAAGGCGTGTCCGAAATATTTTCATTAGCCTACAGACCCTTACACCAAATCTTCCAAAGTACATATCTATCTACTATTTATGACACTACAATAGTATTCAGATAAACACACATCACAGATAAACACACACACACACACACACACACACACACATATATATATATATATATATATAAATAGAATTGTGTAGCGAAAAAAACATATTTTAAATCAATTAATTTTTTATATATATATATATATATATATAGGGAAGAGGTTATAGTAGTCCCAACGAGAGAAAAGTGTGTATATTAAAAAGAAGAGAGAAACTGCAAACGTTTTTGGTTGTAATGTGTACTTTTTTTTTTTTTAAATGTTTTATTTTCCAGAATTTTGCTACACGGATTTCCGGTCTCGCGACCTTCATCAGGCAAAGAGTGGATGTTTCCACATATTATTAAAAATAATTAATTTTTTTCTTATTTTTTTCGATGTTAAATATTCACAATATGAGACATTTTCTTTTTTTGTGTGTTATTGGCCCAAAAGACTTCCTGAATTGGCAGTGAAAAGTGCTGCCTGATTAGAATCAAACGAGATAGCAACAACAACAGAACTGAAATATGGAACTCAGTGACGATCGAACTCCCGGTTTTCTAAGTTTAGCTTGGATTTGGCACAAGGACGAAAGAATGGGGCGCCCAGTGAGGATCGAACTCACTATTCAGTTGCTCTAGCGAGGCAAGCTTGCTAACCATTACACCACGTCGATGTGAACAAATGTTTTCTTGGTGTATCATAGATGTGGCGCAATGCCGAAAGTATGGGGCACCCAGTGAGGATCGATTTCACTAGTTACTCGTGAGTGAACTAATGAAACAATCTTGCTAACCATTGCACCACGTTGAGGTGAAGAAATGATTTTCACGCGTAGCTTAGATGTGGCACAAGATCGAACGTATAGGGCACCCAGTTAGATTCGAATTCACTGCTCAGTCGTAAGTGTTCTAGCGAGACAAGTTTGCTAACAACGTCAAGGTGCTCAAGTGAATTCCAGGCGTAACTTATAAGTTTGCCAAACATTGCACC